CATCATATGTATGCTAATGGAAGTATCTTTAACTGAACTTAACGACTTAGGAATCGACTTGTTACCAGGGAATTGTCTTATGGACTTAGAATATGCAGATGACATAGTCCTGTTAGGAGAGGATGCTGACAAAATGCAGTCTTCTGAACACCTAGAGCGGCAATCTTTGTATGTTCGGCATGCGACTCGCCCCTGTAAAATGTAAGATGCTGCTACGGGACTTGACTGCTTCAACTCCCAGCTTAGTGGTAGGGAGTGAAGTGACAGAACATGTTGACCACTTCACATATTTGGGAAGTTGTATCAGCACCAACGGACTGATTGCCGACAAAATCTCATAACGGATCCAAAAGGCTTGAGCTGCTTTCGCTAAATTACGCCATCTCTGGTGTATGCGTGACATCCAGCTATCAATCAAGGGACGTGTGTACTGCTCACCAGTTCGCTCTGTCCTTATCTATGGCTCTGAAACATGGCCAATACGAGTTGAAGACATGAAAAGGTTGTCTGTTTTTGACCACAGATGTTTACGATCTCTTTCTCGCGTTAGGTGGTATAATAAGGTAAGTAATGTTGACGTTAGGCGTAGAGTGTTGGGCAAAGAGGGAGAATCAATCGACGAGGCTATAAAGTTACATAGATTGAGATGGCTAGGTCACGTGCTGCGCATGCCTAACCATCGCCTCCCCCGACGGGCATTACTAGCTGATATAGGTGCAGATTGGAAAAGAGTAAGTGGTGGCCAAACAAAAACATGGCATCAATCCATGAAATCCTTGACAGCTAGACTGAGTCAGGTAGGGAGATGCAGACTTCCAGGTTGGGGCCCTTGGGACTCTGAGAATCAATGGCTGGAGATAATAGGTGACATGGCTCAAAATCGTTGTCAATGGCACAGATGTATTCTATTTCTGTAATCTTTCAAATTTCTTTCTATCATTACTCATTCTGTTTCACTCTTATACTTGTCAAAACTCTATTGATTCTCTTCACCCCTTTTCTTGTCTACCTTTGTGTGGTATTTGGAACGTGGCAACTCGAACTGCTGCACTTAGGTGCCGAGTTCTATGTTGAATCCAGACAGACAGACATTTATGAGTTCATCTACTAATATGAAGATTATTATAAAGGCTTATTCAGATGACTTTATCCATACGCGTGAATATACAGGGATATGACTGATAGTCTGGTTTTTCCTTACTTGACGAGCAGTGGACATCCAGTTAAACCACAGCACGAGTCTTTGGGGATCTGTGAATATCCCAGAGACCTATCAAGAGGAGACCTATCGACTGCATCTTCTATCAGTAGCCGAAGACTTCTTCTCTGTACCCAAAAGAAGTAAAACCCGACTGCTTTATTTACGTTGGTGTACATTAAGCGAAAAAAGTTCTTCATGAAAGTTGATATTCAACACTTAAATCTCAATTTCATTAACTTCTCCTTATCGTTTCACTGAATAACTTTAATTTCAGACTTTGACGTTTTCGCGATCTTTCTTACTGAGTATGTTATTCTAGGTTTACGTCATACTTTTCACACATTATTATTATTATTATTATTATTATTCACAAAATTCATTTCTTCACACTTTAATAAATTCTTTTGTACTTAGTAATCATCATTCACCAATAGCACTTCTGTGTTTACACCATTCCGTTATTAATTCATTTTATCATCATCATTATTATTATCATTATTCGTTACCTTTTGAACTTACATCTAGAGTATCCAATTTATTTGTTTATTTCACTGTAGTAGTATTCATACTGTCCTCTCTGAACAGCAATCACATTTTCACCCCTTGAAGCCTACAGTTTTGTCGATTATACAAGTATACAAACACGTCGTTGAATTGTTTTTTGTTTTTTGAATCTTATGTTCTAATTGAACAAACGAAAATCAAAACTCACTGACTATAAATCCATTCTATGCTTGTATCGCAGTACAGTATTTCATATAACTATTATTATTATTATTGTTCCATTGGGTTCCTAGTGAAACATAGGGCTTCAGCTACACGTCTCCACTTGCTTCTGTCTTCTGCTGTACTTTTCACCTGCATCCATGTTAATCCATACTGTTTCAACTCCTCTTCACACGATCTCCTCCATGTCACCCTTGCACTGACGTCCCACTCGCCGCTTCCCTTTCGGGTTCCACTCGAACATTGGCCTGACGCGCGATGTCACCCAACGGCCTCCTCAGCCAGTGAGTGTCCAATCCATCTCCACTTTCTCCTGCATATTTGTTGGGCGATTGGTTCTTGCTTTGTTTGTTTCCATAGTTTCTTGTTGGTGATTCTTTCCGGCCATTTGATCTTCAGTATAGAACGAAGACAGTTGTTGTTGATGAAGGTCTGCAACAGGCTGTTGGAAATATTCTTTGTGACCCGCCACTAAGTTTCTGATCCATCCATATAGAAGAACTGACTGACTGACTTGACGTTTGTATTGAAAATCCGAATTTTGTTGTTGATGCAGGCTGAGTGACGAAGATTTCCAGATTGGTTTCAGGTTGATGAATGTGTTTCTCTCATATAACTATAATTTGCCTTTATTGGCAATCATGTATGCCAGCATGACTGAATTTCAGAGCTTGAACCACAAACAGTCTTGGGTCAGAAAACCATTGTGAACCTGGGAGTGCTGGACAGCTGTTTTGCCCCGAACTGAAATCAATTAAATCTTTGCAAACTAACATTTGAAAATTATCCTAGTTCTCACTAGTGACCCACTAAGTGATGAAGTTTTAGTAGGGTGGGGTCGTGAGCAGAATGGGGGCCACCAAGCTGAGTGTAAGGACACATACCGATGAAATAGAGAGGCGACCATGCTATACCAAGAAATGGCAAAAGTTGGAATAAGTGGGAGGGACATTGAATTCCGCGCCAGTAGTTAAATGGTATACGAGTTCGCCTGGTAACATGGATTCGATCCCTAGTGGTGAGGTCATGCGTGTAAACTGCTGAAGAGTTTCAAACAAGGACGGGGCAGGAGTCCATTACTCTGTGGTTTTGAATGGTTCTGTAGCTGGGTTACCTGGCCTGTCATATGCTCTGATGGCGTTCTCGTGACTGTTGTTGCTAGATGTGCCAAGGGTGATGGGAAAGTGCGCAACCTAATGGTGATGTGCAAGGTTTGAAGAAGGCTGTATACTGTAGTATACCTGCACCTCGTCTTGATAATGTTTTCCTCGATCGTATATTGGTGAGTACCTCCACCTGTCACGTGGAAGGCCTCGGTTCGATTCCCGGTCGAGGAGGTGGCTTTGGTGAGTCGGTGGTTCAGCGGTAGAACACTGGCCAACCACGCAAATGGCCCGGGGTTCGATCACCGGCCGGCATACTCCTTTACCTCGCTTAGCCGGTCTTATGCCAGGCAAAGAAGGAATGGTTGGGCTTAAGGCTAGCAACCCTACCCATAAAAAAACACCTCTGCTACTGAAAATCCAAAGCTGTAACTTGAAATCCCAATGTCCCAATGGGAAAGAAAAGGAATAAAATAAAACAATAACAGCCAACTGAAGGCAACTGGTGATCAAAATAGGAATTTATCACTGTAGAGCCTGAAGGAAAATTTATTGAGAACAAGTGTTCGCCACAATTGTTCTTGTTCTAAGTAGTAAATATCTTTAGCATAAAAAATGATTACATTGGCTCTTGATAACCTGAGAAAAAAAGCCTACAAAGTATTGAATAAATAAGCGTATTCTATTAATTGAAATCGGGACAACAAACATCATATTAGTTAGAGAACCAATGGAAAACCTGCAGGGAGTACTAGACAGCTGTTTCGTCCTAGTTTGGCACTCTTCACCAGTACGCACCAGCCCCAAGGGTTAAAACCCAGGACCTTCTGGTTACAAGGCGAGCTCGTATACCACTAAGCTACTGGGACCCGATCCGATGGCCCAATTCACGACATACCGCGACCCCTAGCCAATGTCTTCGGCGAGTATTTGCCCGCACACCCGACCTGCTGCACCCTGACGGGTGCGTACTGATGAAGAGTCCCAAACTAGGACGAAACACCTGTCCAGTACTCGCAGGTCTTCCAATGGTTCTCTAACTAATGTCAGCTCATGATGAAAATCCTGTAACCAATCAAATCCCTACAAACCAACACTTAAACATCATATTACTTGATCAGTAGGTTTGTATAGCTGTGTGCCAATAAATTTAAGGTTTAAATGAAAAACAGATGGACGCATTATATAAACTTTTTCAGGGAACGTGAGCTATCTTGTGCGATGTATTCAGTTGCACATGAGTCGTCGGATAGGGATGTATTTTAATATCTCAGGTTTAGAAGACTGAAGACTTAATAACAGCTTACACATTTATTGGATAAAAATCAGTGGCTTTTTCCACAAACAGTTTCAACGCGTTAACTAACCGATACTAGACATTCACGTTTGGACATATGCTCGTCCGGTATATATCAACAACGTAGTGATTATGAAAAGTCTGATGACCCCTAAATTTCCTTCTTTCGGATAGTACAATCCTAGAAAGAGACTTTTATTCCTATTCTTTATGTATATATTTATGTAGCTGCATTTATCTTAAGATGACTTGCTTCTTCAATACGAGAAACCTCTTTTACACGATTTTTGTTGACTAGATGGGTAATGAAAAATGCATTTCCCATAGACTGAGACATGTTTCACTATAAAACATGATGGGATTAAGTAATTTTGTGATGAATCAATCTGGCTTAGCGCTCAAATTATTCCAGGAAATTCGTAGCATCTAATGTCTAGCTATTATTGTGACGTGTCTCAGTTTACCTAATATATTTGATAAATTCTGACACCTTCACAATGCAGATGACTTCGAATTCACCTTATTCGTATTGTGATTGGTAGCTTGGGTGTGAATGTCATAAAGATTAAATTTCAAACAAAAAATCAATATTTTCACAAACCAATGACAGTGAAGTTTCAAGGTCAATTAAGTTTAGTTCAGTTCATTGGCTGTTAGAGATAGACCACGTTAAATGAGTTTGCTAGGTGATTTGATTTCTCTCATTTTCCGTACTAACGGCTACAATGATGCCGCTAGGCGGAGAACTTGAGAAAGCTTTCGCTATTTATGATCATCTCAGACAAGGACCAAAAGCTGAATATTATTATAAGTGGTCCTTACTTAGTTTTATTGTATGCCTGACCATTCATCATATTATCAGCCCTTGGATATTTAGTCGATACAATGCATCATATCGCAATCTTCCTCGAGGTCAAAGAATGGAATGGGATTCACGGTAAGTTTATATAGTGGAAGTGACGTATTTATGTCGTTTTATGAGAAATTTTTTTGTATTTGATGTATTCCCAAGATTACTATATTGCTGAACTAAATCTCGCTAATTCTGAACTAACCATAACATTGTATAATGAGTAAATTCTGAAGTTGTTCTGAAACGGTTTGATTATGTGCACAGACTAGAACTCAATGTTGGTTTTCAGCATGACTGACACTAATTTAACCCCTCCTGTGCTTTTTCTAGGTGTTTTCATAAGTGGCTCAGAACCTACTGGGTTTGCTAGTCAGCGTTGTTTCAACCCTCTTAGCCGAAATTCAGCACTGACTGGCATTGCTTCAGAACAAGTTTTCAGCCTTATTTCAACTGAAAGTCCTATTTTTAAGGTTCCGTCGACTAAACGAAGTGTCCAGTTGTCTTTCTAAGAACGATCAGAGTTATTTCAGTACATAATGGGTTCATTCTAGTTAGGTAAAATATCCATTTACAATGAAAAGGCATTATCGACGCATAGGTTAGAATTATTGTAGGCTTATTTAAAATTTAGTATCTCAAATTTTTCATCATATTGGTCAGTTGCACGTAAAGCATGATCACTACCTTATACATGGCACTGAAGAACAGCACTCTTAGTTCTTTAGTGTGTGAACAGGCTCATGTATTACAGAAAGTTAGAGAAATACTGCAGCATCACATCAGAACCTTTCATCTCAGAAAACATTGCCTGGGAGTCATAGTTTTGATGCACAAGTAAATACACAGCCTGTTTGTGGTGAAAATAAATAATAGCAGCCAGTAAATTTTCCAACTGGGTAAACCCTGATTCTAAATTTAACTCCTAACCCTTAACTGTAACTGCTAAATCTAATTTAACCCTTAGTCATAAGTGTATACCATAAGCTCTTAACCGCATCCCTAACTTTTAACCGTAATCTGACTTTTAATCTTAACACTGGACTTTAAAAGTCGAGCAGAAAGCTCTTTAGACCAAACAACCATTGCATTCATGACTGGTCATATTATTGTCCGTTCAAGTTCAGCTGGTGGCTGCTGTGGTTTATCCTCACCCTGTTTTATATGTTGCCTTAATACATACCTGGGTTCGGTTCAGTTGATAATCACAGTGCTGGCTAAAATAATAATGTTTCAAATGCATAGGTACTTTAAAGTCAAGTCATGGACATGTGGACTTCAAAAGTTAGGTAGTACTTGCACTGTCTGCACTTAACACTGCTTCATTTTGCTTTTATTTGCTCAGTTGTGTTTCCATAGCTTCTGATTAAGTATTATGATATCAGTTTTCTTAATTGAAATCAGCACAGGTGTTTTTTTTTCTACCGTGTTACGACTGATTCTAATGCATACTACCCAGTTATACATCTCAGTCAGAATGGCCACACTTTTGTTTATGATTCAGGCTAATTACTATGTCCTACCATTCTGAAGTTTGTTTAGTGCCACTGTCCCAGTTTTTGTATTTTGTGAGGTTATACTTTTAATATATTGGTTTATTTATCCTAGTCCTTTTAGAGATAACGTGAATTACTCACATATGATTATCACTCAGAATTTTGTTTACTCACTAGTTCGGTTAACCTTGCACCATATTGACCAAGTATTTTCGTTACTCATAAAACAGAAAGGAAGGAAAAATAGATTACAATCCTTTTATAAGTGTTCCTTGTGTCACTGAACTGATGTCGTAAAACAAATGGTCTATTATTTAAAACTTAAAACTATATACGTTTGAGTGTGACAAAATTACTCATCCTGCCGAAGCTTGGCAGAATCCGCATATATGGGCTGACTAAAAGTCCTCACAACGAATACAAGCACTAATAAAAGACTAAAGTAGAAAAAAACAACATCCGAAATAGTTATTGCTTGTTGGTTGTACAGTTTCATTTAGTTGCAGACCCCCTACTGGGTTCTTAAACGTAGACCTACTTAACTTCATTTTAGTTTGTTTATTAGATATATCACACAGTGAAACAGTATTATTTACTGGATACTTAACTTCGTTCAAAACTTGCCGCATTCCTTTAGCTGAACGTAGTATTTGACTCGGTCGATAGAGAAACGCTCTGCCAATATCTCGCTATGAAATGACGAAGACTATTGCATTAATCAAGTTACTTTACTCGAACTCAACCAATTGTGTACGAGCTTACAGCGACTTGTCACCTGAAGTGATGAAAACCAGAGGCGTTCTTCAGGGATGTCACCATTTTTACTTAGTGGTGATGTAACTCTGGTCGATTACTGTTTTTCAGCAATTGACTCATTATATGGCAGGGGGTTTGTGGAACTAGTGTGTGCATATGTTAAAGTCCTTCTAGGCGAAGACACTGATAATATGCTGTCTTCTGAACATTTGAGTATGTTTCATAATTGATTCGCTGCTATGAATTATAAGATGCCGCAGGATTGGTTTGCAGGCTGTACTAGTTTAAAAAAAAATGAAGTTGAATGTGTTGATTACTTAACTATTTTAGGAATTTGCATCAGCCTTAATTGGCTGTTTTTTTTTCCAACGAAATCCTTTTGTGGATTGAAAAAATAAGTTTGACACTTTTCAACTTCATCTTTAGCTCAGACATGTTGTCTGGTTACCCAACAAAGGCGTGTATACAGTGTAGTAGTTCGCTCCTTCTTACTGTATTTGTGAAACATGGTCGTTGGATGTCGAAGATATGAAAAAACTAGTTTTTGACCATGCGAGCTTCCGCTCACTTTATTGTGTTAATCAGAACAGTATGGTCAGTAATAATGGGATTTGGCGTAGTCCGAGGAAAGAAATAAAAGTTGACCGATAAGGTTGTAAAACCTTACTAACTAGGATATGTGCTGCGTATGTTGTTTCACTTCCTCCTAAACCGATCAGTGTTGGTTGAAGTCTGACTAGTTTAGTGGAGAAGACGAAAACACGACACCTATCCATGAAGTTCTTGACTATTAACTAGAGCTATGCAGACCATTTGGCTGGGGTCCTACTGATGTTAAGAACCAATGGTTGGACAATGTTGGTGGTAAGGCTGCAAATCGCCCTAAGTGGTGCAGATGTATTCACTGCTTGTTATTGTCTGGACTCACTCACTTGAATGGAATGTTTAACGAAAATATTCTTTGTTGATAAGTCAGTTTGCCTATTATTGTTGGATATTACTGTATATAGATCACTAGAACTATAGTTTTATGTATATTTAATCACATTGAAAAGCAGGTTAGTTGTTTGATTATTCTGTGTACAACGGAGTAGAAAAGTAGGCAACTAATGGCTGCTAATGTGTAGATACATTTGTCTGATCAATTTTCATTATCTGCAGGAGTGCCTACTTTGGAATCTTCAATCCATGCACTGCTGCATAATCTTATAATCTCACTAATCCACTTTTGTTTTGTGTCCATAACAAGTCTTAAATTGCCCTGAATTCCATTGCTAATCCCTACTAGCGGGACGAAATTTCGTCTAAATAGTTCGTAAGGAAACTATCTAAATTTAATGATTGTGACGTACTGGTAATCCTGTAGTTCTTACCATATAGTGCTGGTTTGGCAGGTCAAAGGCCATTGCTTCCAATCTTATTATTGCCGAAGTTTTCATTGCGGCTTAATAAATCACTTTCCGTATTTTATACTACATAGATATTCTTCAATCCATATGGCCAGAGTTATTTGGGCTAATCTCACATTAGCTATTACGAAGTCAATTGTCTTCATACATTAGCAGTAGTTTAGAAACCATGTCTTCCATAGTGTCCGTGAAAATTCATGCAATGGTAGGTCCTCATTGTCTGAACTTAGTTTCTTGGAACAAGTTTTTCATGAGCCAGGCTGTGAGCCACATAGTGTGGAGGGGCTGAGGGCACTACCCAATTGTTTAGGCTGCAGTAGGCGGAGCGGCGTTTAGAACCGGAACATACTGTTTGAAATTGGACTGCTCAAACCAATAAGCCATATATATATGTATATATGTATACATATATGTATATATATATATATATATGGCTCGAACATTTAAATAGCACTAATTACTCTTATGTCACCGACCTAATCACTTTTCTGTCGATCTGCTCAGGTTTCAAATTTCACACTTTTTTCTCCAGCTTATCTAATTAAACGTGACTGAAATTCTTGTATATTAAGTTTAGTTGGTAACTTAATAATTAAAATCTATGTGTAGTAAGTATGTAAGCTCAATTCTCTCTATATGGTGGAAAAGTGAAGTTATGCCAAAATGAAATTTGTTGTAGTCAATATGTAATGGTGTTAAATTTAATTAGACTTTCATGTTTTCTGGTTGAAGTTCATGAATCTCTTAAGTTAATTGTGGTAGCGAACACTTGACCTCATGAAATCCAATGGATCTCCTAAAGCTAACCGTTTTTATTAACTAAGTAGCGGTGGAATATAATGTAACTCAGCAAATGGATGCAGTTTCACTTGCTAAACTATAGGCTGGACCTATAGAGAAGATGCTTGAGGTAGTTATCAGTGTAGTTCCACCAGAAGACAGGAAAAGCTTGTTCAACGTCTTCTGAAGACATCATCTGCGATATGTTGTGACATTTTGTGTTAACAGGTAAGTGTACCAATTAGTAGTAGTTGACTCTTCCCAAGTGTCAGACTTGGTTATTGAAGATGGGCGATATGAAGGGACTACATATTTTCAACTTTAGACATTTAAGCACAGGAGATTTTAGGTAAACCCACAATAAACATAGTTGAACTTAAAAATAAGGCAATAGATGAGGATGTAAATTTATTAACTACAGTCTGACGTGAGCTGATTATATGTTGTGAATCACCGACACCAACTTTATTAAAATTAGGGCTACATCGAACAAATACCAGCAATGAATGCAGTAAGATAAGTTGGTAGTCATATGATGCCACCCCTGTGTTACTAAGAAATTTGTAAGAAATCATAAGTTTTTTGTCAGACATTTCTAAGATATCAGAAGTAAGTGGTTGGAGACCTTTAACGACATGCCCCGAGTCGATTATAATATCATATTTAAAAAGACAATTGCAGCGAAGAAAATTTTCTTCTCGACGAAGTCATCATCCAGGCTGTACATTCGTGTACTTATATCGAATGGATGGGAAAGTTCCAGAATAATTTCCGGTTAAGGGTCAAATTAATAAAAATGACAATTAGGAATCAGTATGCCATAATAAACAGGGGGACGGATAAAACTTAAACAGAGTAGCATTATAATAACTAAGAAGATTGACATTGTGCAATTGGGGGTTAGAAATGTATAAATAACAAAATAGACAGGATGTTTGCATAAAAAACTAATGTGATGAATAATTGTTTATGCAATCAGGGGTTAAATATGTAGAAATAGTAAAATAACAAAATAAACAGGAAGTGTGGATATGAAAATATGGTAGTGTAGACAGGGAGTAAGAAAAACTTAAAATAACATGAATAAAAAGGAGGTTTAGATAAGAAAGGCGATGAGATCGTCATTACTAAAAAATTCACCTGTTTATCATGGCCATGGCAGGGACAGGGGTTGGACGTAATTCTTTTGGATACAAAGCGTGGGTTTGAGCTTTTGGATAGCTAGCGCAGAAATCCTTCGTTAACGCCTTTCCAAATCTCTGAGGAAAACATACTTCACCGCGAGCCTGCGACTGACGTTTTCTTGCAAGAAACTGTTCAGCCAGAGCGTGAAAGACAAGCTGTCACACTGGGCCACTTCGACATGTATATACCAGTTTACTTGCTCTTGTGGAGCTGAGTACATCGGCCGTACCATGCACCGACTTGAAAAACGCGCTCGCGAACACTACCCAGCCTGGCTAGTAAAAGGAGACCAAAAACGTGTATACAGTTCAGTGACAGAACATCTGGTCAACTCAGGACATTCAGCGCCATTCGAAAAATCCTTCAAAGTAATATACAAAATTCAATCAAACCTATCAAAGGGAGTCAAATCAAGACATCTGGGCATAGCTGAGGCGCTAGCTATCCAAAAGCTCAAACCCACGCTTTGTATCCAAAAGAATTACGTCCAACCCCTGTCCCTGCCATGGCCATGATAAACAGGTGAATTTTTTAGTAATGACGATCTCATCGCCTTTCTTATCTAAACCTCCTTTTTATTCATGTTATTTTTTTTTTTTTTTTGATTTACAGCTTGATTTCCACACCGTATTTTCAGTACAAGTGTGGAATTTTCAGCATGGATATCGGTTGCCCAAATTCAGGCATACCATAGATATCGGGTGTGCGCCGGCAGGGGATCGAACCCCGGACCATGTGCATGGTCGGCGAGAGTCCTAACCACTGTGCCACCGACTCCCTGTCTACACTACCATATTTTCATATCCACACTTCCTGTTTATTTTGTTATTTTACTATTTCTACATATTTAACCCCTGATTGCATAAACAATTATTCATCACATTAGTTTTTTATGCAAACATCCTGTCTATTTTGTTATTTATACATTTCTAACCCCCAATTGCACAATGTCAATCTTCTTAGTTATTATAATGCTACTCTGTTTAAGTTTTATCCGTCCCCCTGTTTATTATGGCATACTGATTCCTAATTGTCATTTTTATTAATTTGACCCTTAACCGGAAATTATTCTGGAACTTTCCCATCCATTCGATATAAGTACACGAATGTACAGCCTGGATGATGACTTCGTCGAGAAGAAAATTTTCTTCGCTGCAATTGTCTTTTTAATAACTCCTATGACCCAGTGTGATAATTGATATAAAAATAAAACTTGGGCACTGTGGTAGAGTGTAATTCCATTATGGGTAAATTTTATTTTGATAGAGTCTCACAGTGTTATACAGTAATATTTACTGATGACGTTTCGAACACAATTTATTGCTCATAATCATATCAAGGTAATCACCTGACTTCCTAAATTCATTTATATAGTTCCATTTTTTTTCACTTGATTTTCACTTGATTTGATTGGTAGTATTATTTTCCATATTTCAGGTATGAATGATGAATCATTCCTATTGCATGTGTTGGGTGTAGATTCGATGAACAAAGATTCAGTAATCAACCTCTCTCTCCACCTACCTAGATTACTTTTTAGAATTTTAACCCCCTCCCACCCTATTGTGTGGTTGTGTGTTAATGCGTGCATTGCAATTGCCAAGCTTTTTTCTAAATTACTTATCTTCTCTGGGTCAACCATTCTTACCTTAGCTAAATTCTTATGTTCTGACAATCTGACTACCCCTGACCTACTAGTTTGACCTATGTAGTTGACTTAACTCACAGTCATTGCAGGGTATTTTGTAAATTATATTACTTTGTCTAATTGGGTCCACTGGGTCATTTAACCTACAGAGCTTGTCCCTGCCTGAGTGAGTTTGTAGGTTTAAATGCCACCCTAATTCCTGCTTTATTTTGAATCCTACGTAGGGTCTCAGATGTCCCCTCTTTATATGGTATAACTGTAGATGACTTATATTCTCTCTTATTTATGTTATTATTACCAGTTTCACAATTCTTTTTCTTTTGACGTTTTTCAATCTTCCTAATGAATTTTAGAGGATAGTTATTTAGAACCAACGCCTCTTCTACCTGTTTTATTTCATCATTTAGGTCTTTTTTGTGCTACTTAGTGCCATTGCTCGGTTTGTTAAACACTTAACTAAGCCTGCCTTAACCGTTAAAGGATGAAATTAATTAAAGTCTAAATATCTATTAGAAATTGTGCTCGAAACCAGTGTGAATATCATATTTGTTTAATGCTTAGACATCATTAGCTTTCGTTCTACTAGACTACTCCAACATATGCATTTATACTTGTTCGTAGACAAGTACATATAGTTCAGAAGTTTATTTCGCTGTAAACTTTCGTATTTAATGAAATCCTCATTTGTTTTTTTAAAACCCCTCATATAATCCTCCTACCTTCTGATTTATTTTTAATGCTCACATTTTCGAACCTTTAAATTATGTAGTGTGGCGATAATTTTTTTAGTAAACTAATTGTATCTTTCATTTTTGTTTTAGTGCAGTATCATCTATACATGCAACAATTGTTAGTGTTCTATGTGTAACAACGCTAGTTACTAATTATGACCTGTGGAACCATCCTATTACGTAAGTAGTTTTTTTATTTGTTTGAGATACAACTTACCCATGGTGAAATGCTTGACACAATAATGATAACATAACAGTGGTATAAGGAGAAAAGAAATAAAAGCAGTTACAGAGTGACTAGGTGAACTTAAATGTCCTTATAAATTTCATTCAAGAAAACTTTGGTCATTTTTTAATATTTTCTTTCATAATTGAATAAAACAAAATGTCCTAATTATTTTATAAACATATTGATAGGTTTGCGTCGGTGGCACAACTGTAGTAGAATTCTCGCAAACCACGCCTCAGCTGGTCCGGGGTTCGATCTCCGGCCACAGACTCACTCCTTTACCTCACTAAGGCAGTAATAAGACTGGTAAAGAAGGAAGGTCAGGCATGAGGTTAGCAATCCTATCCCGTAAAAATAAACGCCGCTGCTACTGAAACTTCAAGCCTCTAGCTCTGAAGCGTTTTGTTCCACTGGGAACGTAAAGGAATAAAATAAAAGATAATTGATGGATTTGACTGAGTTTGATTTTAACCTTTCGGAAATTGATTTGCCACCCAAGATAGGTCATGTTGATTTAAAGTACGCAGTCAATGTAGTTTGTTTCTAAAGGTGAAGACACCAACGAAATGCATAGTCTTGTGAACACTCTGAGCGCGTGTGTTTAGCATACTACTACTTTATATGAGATTTAGGCTGCTAACTGATATTCACCCATTCCTAACTAGAGAATATGCAGTGAAATAGTTGAATGTGTTGACCACTTGATGTATTTACGAGGTTCTATAATCCTGAGTCAGACAAGCGTGCTTATTATCACCAATGATATTCCTAATTATGGTGGACTGGATTATGCGTCAGACACTGGGAAACGAGAAGACAGAGATATCCTGGACCGACGTGAAGAACCTAGAAGAACTGGATTTCGCGCGTGGATGATTTATGTTTGATGTCACACAAAATCGAAGACTTACAAGCAAAAATCGACAAAGTGGTTGGAGAAGCAGCAAAGACAGGACTCCAGGTGAACATAGACAAGATGGAAGTTATGAAAATAACCAACCAACAACAGCAGCAGCAACATCCAGTGCCAATCACCGTCAACGGGAGGGATTTGAAAGAGGTTACTTCATTCACTTATCTAGGCAACCAGCATTGTCTCAACTACAGGCAGGTGGAACGGACGAGGATGTCAAATCGAGCGAGAATCGGGAAGGTGAGAAACACATTCATCAACCTGAAACCAATATGGAAATCTTCGTCACTCAACATCAAAAACAAAATGATTCGGATTTTCAATACAAACGTCAAGTCAGTCAGTTCTTCTATACGGATGGATCAGAAACTTGGCGGGTCACAAAGAATATTTCCAACAGCCTGTTGCAGACCTTTATGAACAACTGTCTTCGCTGTATACTGAAGATCAGATGGCCGGAAAGAACAAGAAACTATGGGAAGAAACAAAACAATCGCTCAACAAATATGCAGGAGAAAGTGGAGATGGATTGGACACTCAATCGCTGAGGAGGCCATTCGCTGGGTGACATCACGCGTCAGGCCATAGCTCGAGTGGAACCCGAAAAGGAAGCGGTGAGTGGGACGTCAGTGCAAGGGCGACATGGAGGAGATCGTGTGAAGAGGAGTTGAAACAGTATGGACTAACATGGATGCAGGTGAAAAGTACAGCAGAAGACAGAAGCAAGTGGAGACGTGTAGTTGAAGCCCTATGTTCCACTAGGAATCCAAGGGAACAATAATAATAATCCTGAGTCAATAACTTGGTTACAAGCGACTGGTTTGTCACAGGCGCAAGCGTGATATTCAGTTGCTCATCAAAGAGCGTGTGTATCGCACAGTAGTTCACTATGTCCGTCTTTAAAACTGTGAGAGATGGCTTATGGAAAGCATTTTTTAATAATAGCATTACTTTATGTATTGGGACAGCAGAGTAGTAAGAAATATTGACTATAGTTTCATATGCTTAATGCCAGCTGGTACATACTACCGCCTGTAGTTCATTGTGTAGTTGGTTTGTTTAGAATATATGATGGGCTTTTGCTGTCCATTATATTTTCATAAGTGATTATTGTCAAAAATTTTTGCAAGTCACCTGACTGGCAGTTATCAGTTATGTATGTGTGTGTAAGTTAGTTAAAATATCGAATTAGTGTATTGATCAAAATAGGTGTGAAGTAGTTAGTCAGTCAGTCATAGATAATTTGGGTGTATTTTACTAATGTGAAATTAATGACTATTGATAAGCCATAATAATTAACGAGAAAGAATAGTACCAAGGCGATCATATTTAATTGAAATGACTTTTACTATTTCTGATATAAGTGAAATGGTTGAATAATGTGTGAACCATTTCACTTATTATTCTGGAAGATGCTTCAATCTTAATGTACTGATTCCTGATGAATTCTCAGCACGATCCCCGTTTGGTATCTGGCAACTCGTGCCATTTATGGCGCAGATATGGTGTCTGGCTATCGACCAAAGGACACGTGTACTATACAGCAGTTTATTGTCCTTCGTGTTAATAAGTATAATACAAACGCTTATATTAAGGTGTTAGGCATCGAATGCTACCTAAGGAGGAGAAGTAGATCGATGCGGTTGTAAAGTTACATCGATTAAGATGTCTAGGGCACCTGCTACTCGTGTCAATCCATCGTCCTCCTCGTCAAAAAATGTTAGAGGTGGTCAAATCGAAGCGTGACATCAGCCCATGAAGCCGTGTAGGGAGGCATAGGCTGTTTGTCTGGAGACTATTATTGGTGATATAACTCAAAATCGTTGTCGATGGTTCAGAGGCATTCAGTCTCCGTGATCCATTAATTCTTCATTACTCACCAGGTATTCATTCTTTCTGCCGTACATTTTTGTTCCTTATGATTGGTTTGACGTTTTTTGTCTACTTTTGTGTTCTTTATGAAGTGTGTCAACTAGAACTGGTGCACTTTTTGTTCAAAGTCCTACATTCAAAAGTTAGTTTGGCTCAAATAATTGTCTACAAAGATTTTTCTTCTACACAATTTACACTAAAGATTAGACCACATCAATAAGTCTCATTTTTTGAACCTGCCGGGGAATAAACCTTAACACCATTCAACGTACCGTAAATAAGTTTATAAAATAAATAGCATTGTTACACTTCTACTTCAGTTATTTATGCATTTTTTAAACATAATTTAGTTTACTATATCCTTCTTGTTTAACTCTTCTCTAAAGGTGTGTATCTCATCCTGGTCTTATTGCGTTATCCATTTCTATCGGTTACTTTCTATGTGGTAAGTGAAATTATAATTTTTTTCTAAAACGATAATTTTATCAAGTAATTTAGTCATTTGGACATCTTTATGGCAGAAGGATTTCTGGATTATGCAGTGATCCAGTTATGTTATTTTATATTATTATTATTCCCTTGGATTCTGAGTGGAAAATAGGGCTTCAGCAGCACATCTCCGCGTTGTCCTGTTTGGTACTGTTTTCTTCAGCTGGGTTCACGATTGACCGTAACCTCTCATTTCCCCGCACGATCTCCTCTGTGTCACCCCCTCGCAACGGCGACCCACTCGAGGAGTGGCCTACATTGCGCGTTATGTTATCCGATGACCTCCTCCATCTCCGTTTTATCCTTTATATTTGCTGAGCAATCGGCCCTTGTTTGGTTTGTTCCCTTAGTTTCTTATGTCTAATTCTTTCTGGCCATTCAATCTTCAGTATGGAGCCAGTGAGGGCAGCTGCTGACAAAGGTTTACAACATGTTGGAAATCCTTTTCGGGATGCGCAGTTCAAGTTTCTGACTCGTATCGAAGACCTGACTGACCGACTTAAAATTGGTGTTGAAAATCCGAATCTTGTTGTTTATGCTGGCTGAGTTAGTGCAGAAGACTTCCAAACTGGTTTCAGGTTGATGAAGGTGTATTTTGCCTTTCCGATTCTGGCTGGCTGGCTTTGACACCTTCATCCTCCTGTTGTTGAGACCGTGCTTCCTGGCCACAAAAGTGAATAAAGTAACCTCTGTTTAATTCTCTCCCGTTGATGACGATTGGTGCTGCTTGTTGTTGTTATTGGTTGGTTATCTTCATCACCTCCATCTTCTCTATGTTCACTTGGAGACCTGCCTTCGCTGCCTGTCTCTTCTGTCAGTTTGTTGGTTTTCGCCTGCCTGCAAGTGTTCCAGTTTGTGTGATATTAAACATGTATCATCGGCGAAATCCCGATCTTCTAAAGTCTTCTTATCGGTCGTCTAGCGTATTCCAGTCTTCTCACTCCCTGTACACGGTCTAACGCATAATCCAGTCCACCACAATTAAGAATATCATCGGTGCTTTGAGGGGAATTCCTTCTGGTCCTGCTTGCCTTTCCGGACTTCAGTAGCTTGATTGCACTTAGTATTTCAGCTTTCTTTGGAGGACTGGTGTCCATGTCCGTGTGTGTTGTTGATGGTATTTCTGGGCAAGTTGCAGCTGATGGCCTATTCAAGAGTCCTTTAAAGAGATCAGTCCATTGTTTAATTTGTTTCTCCGGATTCCGTTGGACAACTTTCATTGGTTTCATCATCTGGGTTGATCTCTTCCCAGACCTGGGTTCTGATATAATGTTCTGAGATCTCCTTTACCTTCGGTCTGCCTGCTCTGCTTCAGTTGCCAGTGTGTCGTAGAATTGTATTTTGTCTTTCCTAGCACTCTTCCTCACTTCTGTCTTTATTCAGTGCAGTGTACTTTGAACTCAATTTCTCCTTCTGTTATGCATCTTTGCAGAGAGTCATCTTCTCTTTCACCATCCTCCTTTCCTCTATTAACTTCCAGGTATCCGTTGAGAGCCATTCCTTGTCTTGTTTCTTCTTTCTTCCAGAACAGTTGTACACATTCCCTTGAACATCACCTTCAGAGAGTTCCAATGTTCTTCCACACAGGTTTCCTCAGTGGTGCCACGTAGTGTCTGCGATTTTACTCTAATATCTGTAGTGAAGGCATCCCTTGTAGTTTTGTCCTTCAGTTTCTGAATGTTGAAATTGAATTGCAGCGGCCTGTCTCCAGTTGTTTTGAGGGATTTCAGCTTCACTTTGAAGGTTTCTTCAACTAGATGGTGGTGTGAGCCCACATCTGCTCCCCTTCTCGACTTTGTGTCCAGCAGACTGGCTGCGTCTCCACTTCCTTGAGCAGCATTGAGATGAAGTCTATCTGGTTTGTGGTATGTCAGTCAGGAGATATCCATGTTGCTTTGTGTATATACCTGTGTTTGTACACTCTGCCTCTTATCAGCAGATCATTGAAAGCGCAGAAGTCTGCGAATAATTTTCCGTTCTCATTCATTTCTCCGAGAGCTTCTCGACCCATGATGAGTTCTCTTCCTGTATTATCTGCTCCTAATTCGGTTAACATTCATATCACCCATCAGGATTTTGATGTCACCATTTATAATGTTGTCCATTAGTGTTTGTAGTTGTCTGTAAAAATCTTCCTTCTTCTCTTGTTCCGCATTGTTTGTAGCACCGTGTGTAGCATTGGATAATTGTGAGCTTCCTTCCTTATGATTTGAATCTTGCTGTCATGATCCTGTGTGAAATTGGTTCCCACTGCATTAGGGCTCTCGCTGCCACTGATAACATCATGATAGCCACTCACTGCCTCAGTGTGCTCGTGGTTGTCGTCTAGGTGACCAGACCTGAGTAGATTACTGACTCTCCAGTTGACAATTTGGATAATCTACATCCATTCCATCTACTTTCGCCATATCTTCACATTTCTTTGGCTACCTGGGCAATCTTCCCAGTCTCGTACATTGTACGGACATTCCACGTCCCCATTCTTGTTCTTTCTTTCATCCAGAGAAGACAATTCGGCTGGCTGACTGGCTTCCCGAAGGCTGGCTTTCACCAGCCCACTTTGTGATTGCGCCTCGAGCAAAGAATAAGATTATTATTCAAATTTTTCGTAATTTTAAAATACTTTTTGTGCGTCGAATTTTCTGTGGCAGTGTGATTAATTTAATGGTGTAGGGTTTGCAATTAAAAGTGTTCTCTGAGCTGTTTGGTTTAGTTGGGTTGCTAGCCCCACACCCAACCCTCCCTCTTTACCTGGGCTTGGGATCGGCTAGTTAAATAGGTGAGTGTTGTACAAACTGCAGTACGCTCCTGTTGAAGTTCACACTGTGCTGTTGGTGTGTGTACTCTAAGTAAAAAGAGGTTATGCAGCCATGTAAAGGTATATAATACGAGCTCGTTTTATTTCGTGGATACTAATCAATAATAATAATATAATTTACAAAATACCCTGCAATGACTGTAAGGTCAACTACATAGGTCAAACTAGTAGGTCAGGGGTAGTCAGATTGTCAGAACATAAGAATTTAGCTAAGGTTAGAATGGTTGACCACGAGAAGATGGGCAGTTCAGAAAAAAGCTCAGCAATTGCAATGCATGCATTAACACACAACCACACAATAGGGTGGGAGAGGGTTAAAATTCTAAAAAGTAATCTAGGTAGGTGAAGAGAGAGGTTGATTACTGAATCCTTGTTCATCGAATCTACACCCAACACATGCAATTGGAATGATTCATCATTCATACCCGAATGTGGGAAATATTACTACCAATGAAATCAAGTGAAAAACAATGGAACTATATAAATGAATTTAGGAAGTCGTGTGATTACCTTCATATGATTATGAGCAATAAGTTGTGCTCGAAACGTCGTCCTCAGTAAACATTACTGTATAACACTGTGAGACTTTATCAAAACAAAATTTACCCATAATGGAATTACATTCTACCACAGTGCACAAGTTTCATTCTTATATCAAAAACAACTCATTATATATCGTGGAATTAGATAAGAGGGGTTAGAGTTCAGACTTCTATTGGAAAACACAGATTGGTTAGAGGCATAATACAGGGTCAGGGTCAGAGAACAGAGTGAATTTACACATCTTGCGGTGGAGAGTTTAAGAGGGTGGGGATGAGTAGTGAAGTAACATTTTTAACTTAAACAGACAATTAAGTGGATTTAGAAACTTGATAGTCAGTTCAACTTAGCAAGTCAGAGTCAAAATTGAATAGAATGTTTCGTAACAAGACAAAGACACAGGCATACTGACAAAAAGGCAAAACAAAAATAAAATAAATGCATTTACCAATTCATTTGCACTTGTGGAAGCAAGTACATAGAAAGGACTGAGAGGAGAGCATCTACTAGATTTTCTGAGCACATTCACAAGTCTTCGGACAAAAGGAAGAAAAGTGTTATCGAGTCCAATCGCCAGACATTTAATTGACACAGGACACACAGTAGAAATTAGCCAAGCCTTCAAAATAATCAATACGCAAAGAAACCCATGGCTACTTCGCTTCGCAGAAGCCATTGCTATCAAGAGACTTCGACCAGACCTCTGTATACAGAAAGATAGTGTGACTAATCTTTCACTACCCTGGTAACCCTAACTTTATTTTATTTTTGTTTTGCCTTTCTGTCAGTATGCCTGTGTCTTTATGTTGTTACGAAACATTCTATTCAATTTTGACTATCAAGTTTCTAAATCCACTTAATTGTCTGTTTAAGTTAAAAATGTTACTTCACTATTTCCCCCCCCCCCACACCCTCTTAAACTCTCCACCACAAGATGTGTAAATTCACTCTGTTCTCTGACCCTGACCCTGTATTATGCCTCTAACCAATCTGTGTTTTCCCATAGAAATCTGAACTCTAACCCCTCTTCTCTTATCTGATTCCACTATATATAATTAGTTGTTTTTTTGACACTGAACAATCTGTCTTTTTATTTATCTTTCACGTTCCCCAGTGGAACATAGGACTTCAAGCTATTGGCTTGAATTTTCTGTAGCAGTGCTTATTTTACAGGATGGGGTTGCTAGCCTCATGCCCAACCTTTCCGCTTCACCAGCATTATTTCTGGCTTAACGAGGTAAAGGAGTGTGTCAGTGGCCGGGGATCGAACCCCGGACCATGTGCATGGTCGGCAAGCGTCCTATCTGCTATACCACCGGTGCACTGAACAATCTGTCTACCTACATCAAATTCTGGAATTATGTTCCTTATACCTTCTATCTATAACTCCAAGTAATTATGAAAAAAAATATGTTCCAAAACTTTTTTTTGAAACTTATAATTTGATTTCGTTTAGGATGTATGTAAGCAGTTGATGAGTATCCACGAAATAAAACCAGCTCGTATTATCCTGCCTGCAAACATATTCGTTCTTTCTCTCTTCAAAACTAATTGAGGGAACCGGTTGTATGAAAGGAAGATAACTTAGAATAGGGTATATATGCCTTAAACATCCTATTTGTGAAGATGATTTATTTTAGAAATATACCCTTTATTAGTTATTTCCAAAATCTAGGTTATCATATCTTTTCACCTGTTTTGATTTATTTCGTCTTGGTTGACTGGGTATTATCATTGGCGCGCGCGTGCACACACGCACGCACAGACGGACATTGTACATATAATAGACGTGGCTAAAAGTTTAGCTAAACAATACTGCACTTGTTATTTAGCTGTTGAAAGAAGGTTGTTTTTTTGTATGGAGTTTTTCTTTGACTGGTTTTTCGGATTTAAAAAAAATTTTGTTTTTGTTTGCATTCTGAATTTCTTTTCCTACTTTTCTATCTATCTATCAATAGATGCTGTTTCTATGCCATTCTACTGGTGGAACAGGCAATTGATTATATTTCTTTCACATCATTTGGCCGCATCATTTGCATTTTATCATGTTATTGTACGTCAGAAAATTATAGTGTCATTATTCAGGTTTATCATCAATATTTTATTTCTTTTGGATACAAAGAGTGGATAGCTAACGCCTCAGCTATACCCAAATGTCTTGATTTCACTTCCTTTGATAGGTTTGATTGAATCTTGTATATTACTTTGAAGGATTTTTCGAAAGGCGCTGAATGTCCTGAGTTGACCAGATGTTCTGTCACTGAACTGTATACACGTTTTTAGTCTCCTTTTACTAGCCAGAAAAAAATCCTTCAAAGTAATATACAAGATTCAATCAAACCTATCAAAGGAAGTGAAATCAATATTTGATTCTTATACAGCCTCGTATCATGATATCTATTGACTGAATGTGGTTTACAGTTTATTCTTTAGTGTAGAGTCTACTATTTATTTATAAAGCAGTAATAATTGTGAGTAAATTTTAAAGCAGACAAATTCTGTGTGTTAAATTCAATGAAGGGATAAGAGAGAAATGATTTAGAATATACCCATAAATTAATAAACAACATATTTGAAGACATCAAATTCACAAGAGAAGAAGAATTAGATAACAAAATCCCATTTTTAGATGTCTTAATCAGGAGAACCAACACAGGAGATTTAGAAACACAAGTTTATAGAAAATCAACGCACACAGATCAAATACTCAACTATTCTAGCAATAATCCAGTTACTCACAAACGAAACTGTGTGCAGACATTGTTTAAAAGAGAGTTCAAACACATTGTAGCACTCCAGAGTTGAAAAGAATGGAAGAAAAATACCTAAAAACGGTCTTCAAAAAGAATCGTTATCCACAAAATTTCATCAAAAAGTGTTTCAAGTCGAATCAAAACACCAACAAAGAACCATCATTAAAGACCACAAGAAAATTCATCCTACCGTACATTAGAAATATCTCTGAAATAACAGCTAGAATACTGAAACCGTTTGATATAGATATAGCACACAAGCCAGTCAAATCGCTTAATTCGATATTATGCGAACCGAAAGATCCAACAGAAAAAGGAGATAAAATTAATACCATTTACAAAATTAATTGTATGAACTGCAACAAGTATTACAACGGCCAAAGTGGGCGTCCCCTTCGAATCAGAATCCAAGAACATAAATCAGCCGTGAGAAGACACGAAATGTATTCTTTAGTATCAATGCATATAGACAATTATCGTCATCAATTTGTTTGGGATAATGTCAAAATCCTAAACAGAAGAAACACCAAAAGTGCCAGGGAATTCCTAGAAGCCTGGTACTGAAACGAAAATGCAATTAATAAACACGTTAGTATAGACGAAATATGCCAACTAATAAAAAGTAAATCAGGTGACCAGAAAGTTTAAAATCCAAGTCAATCGAAAATGGTCAATACATACATGAAGATGGTTACCAGGAGACGCAATTATATCACTCATGAAGAAATTTAAATCATTTCACTTTATGCTAAATATTGCGCTGAAAGAGGATGTTGTCCAGAAGGACGACGAAAGCTCCGCAACTAAACCAACCAGCTCAGAGAACACTTAATTGCAAGAGAATTCTCTGTTGGAACATTATCAGCACCAATGAAAGTGGAGGAGGGTGTGGTGGGAAAGCAAGTAGGTTATCCACTTACTTAGAAACGTACCGTATGCTTGCTTCGACACTTCATGTATTATTATATGGTTGGAGGAAATCGCCAATAAGGCTTTTACTTAGGTTTCGTGCTTGTTGGCACTCGTCAGAAAGGCTTATCTGCCACCTTGAAGAGGAGCTCATATCTCCTCTGAGATTCGAACCTGTATCACGCAGTGCTGTAGTAGGACTGGAGGACTGTACTCGATACTTTGATTGAACACTAACTAGGCGGTAAGTAACTAGTGGCATGTGTGTCTAATCTTCCTTGTTTGGTGAAGACTGAATTCTACCAGTCAAGTTTGCAATATGGCCAAAAAATTGGGTTTCTCGCCATCGGTATGAACTGATGTTAGATGGTTAGAGGAGAACTTGACTAGCAGAATTCGGCTGACACTATAAACGAAGGACTATACATATGACAGTGGTTACTGCCTAGTATCCAATCAAAGCACAATGACATGGTGTTTTTCTCCACTCCTTATCATCTTATCAATCCCTTTCTGTTTATTTATCCTCTTCCTTTATGTCCTTATCCACTTCACCATATATTACTATTCGTGTTAGTTTTATGTTAATGAAAAGAAAAGTAAAAATAGTTTAGCGAAGAGGTTCTTTTCGATAATTTTATTTTTTTACGAGTTGATCACGGATTGATATCAGTTAGAGAACCATTGAAAACCAGGGAGTACTGGACAGCTGTTATTGGGGTCGCGCTAAATCACGAATTGGTAGAAGTTAGAATTCATGCACTGGCCATTGAATCGGGTCCCAGTGGCTGAATGGTATACGAGCTTGCCTTGTAACCGGAAGGTCCTGGGTTCGAATCCCATTGTGTGCGTACTTCCGATGATTCCTAAACTAGGATGAAACAGCAGCTGTCCAGTACTCCCTGGTTTTCAATGGTTATCTAAGTGATATCAATCCGTGATGAACTCGCAAAAACATAACTAACCCTTAGAAACCAAACTATAGAAAAATAATTTTATTTCCTTTAGGTGTATATAGTTGCATATGTCCAAACCAAGTTCACTTTTAACAATTTGATAAAATATTTGTTCATTGGGTAGATGATAGTCATTACAATAAAGGGTTTTCTTGTATTTCCCAATGGATGAAACGACAAAACGATATTGTTTTTACTGACGTTTCGCTATTTAATACTGCTAATAGCTTTATCAAAGTAGTGTATTATTAAATTTACAAAGTCTGTGCTCATATATAACAAATTTCACCATCATTCATCAGCATGGCGTAATATTTTGCGTTGTCAAGTTGGCCAATTGATAAAGATAACAAAACCAAGTATAGATTGTTGGATTTGATCAGTGTGTAAAATTATAAAGGCAGTGTGTGTTTACATAGTGAACTTGCTTATCACATTCGTGTTGATTTCATCATTTCATGGAGGAGGGGATGGGTGTTGTAACCAGTTCAAATTCTGTTTTAGTCCATCATTCTTATTCAGACAATTTTGATTCCACTTGATATGAAGTGCTTCTGATGATGTTAGACGTTCTTTTTGATTTCTGAATTTTTCCTGGATTATTTCAGTATCATCAAAATCAATTTTGTGGCCTGATTCTATAGCGTTTAGACCTGTGATGCGATATACATCGGACAAACATTTCGAGAAATCAAAATCAGAAGAAATGAACAACATAGAGCCGCATCTGTTTGACCACCGATAAATCCGGTTGAACTAGAAAAGCTTGAAAAGTCATCAACCATAGGTCGCGCTGTCATGAATTGGCAGAGGTTAGAATTCATGGTCCTTTGGATTGGGTCCAAATGTCATTATGGTATACTAGCTCGCTAGCCTTGTAACCAGAAGGTGGTGGGTTCGAACCGTGGCGGTGGTTGCGCACTGATGAGGAGTGCCAAACTAGGACAAAACAGCTGTTTGTGTATATAAATGTCATTATATGGCTAAAGAAAATGAAATCGCCAACAAGAGCCTTTTCGCTGAATTACTTAGTTGTTGCTCTTTTTTCAGAAATCCTGGAATGTGGATTATTCATGCATTTTGTATTTCTTATGTTGACATTCGAATAGATACCATTTTAGTCATTTCTGTCTATCTGCCCATCTATTTCTATATCTGAAGAGACTCTATTAACCTCACTGATTTGATTTGTTCTAAGTTTGATGACGGATTGATTTCGAGTTACAAGACGAAGTTGTGTGGAGTTCTGGTGAGAAGTCGTGACCAGTGTGGTCCACCAGGTCGGGTGGAAGTTACAATCCATAGGTCATTAGATTCCATTCCAGCGACTGAATAGTAAACAAACTCTCGTCGTAACCCGTTGCTCCTGGGTTTTCAATCTCAGGTGAAGTCATTGGCACATACTGTTGAAGAGTCCCAGGCTAGGATGAAACAACTGTCCAGTAATCCTTGGTTTTCAATACTTCTCTAACTGATATCAATCCGTGATCAAGCTTGAAATCAATCAAATCTCTACAAACTAACACTTGAAAAGAATGTCTTCTGAGCATGTACAATGTTACTTTTTTCAAAAACATTCAATATCTTCATTATAGTCGAGATATAAGAAAAAATCGTTAAGACCAAAGTCGCCTCCTATAAGGCGTATTTAATACACACGCGCGCACATCTTACACGTGTGAACCTACGCGTGATTTTCAAATCTTAAATCAGAATTCATAATTAAAAAAAGGTAGTCGTAACGTAAAATTCTTCACTAAGTGGTAAAAATATTTATTTATTTATTTAATTTTTCTTGAAATTTCAGCAATATCGAACTTGTGTATTTTTCGGAGTGTATCGGTTGACAACTGAGTTGTCTACACCATTTGTCAATCAAAGGTATCAGTTTTATTTCTAGTGCATATTTATTTCATAATTGTATTTGTATGTTTTATTCTAATATCACATAGGTGTACAGTTGTTCCTTTCTCTGTGAATAGTTTTAAAATGTGGAAGAGAATAAGCCGGAATTACTTCGCTACAGAAATTATTCTAGCACAATTATCTATCTGTAAATATCCGGTATCGGGCTATGAGGCACACTTATTATTATGTGAGAGCTGATTATGGTATGCACTTACCCAGGCATGTCTGATTTCCCACAAACTGGAAGGTATGCAAGCGAAAAGCAACAAGTTGGCAGAAGAAGCATCCAGAGAAGATAGGACTTCAGGTGAACATAGAGAAAACAGAGGTAATGAAGGTTCCTGGCCAAGAACAGCAACAACAGACAACGATCAGCATAAATGGGAGGAACCTGAAAAAACAACCTCTTTTAACTACCTGAGAAGCATCGTTTCAACTACAGGCGGATGGAACTGACGAGGATATCAAAGCAAGAATCAGAAAAGCAAAACAAGCTTTCACTACTCTCAAGTCTGTGTGGAGGTCAACAGCCCTACTCAGCATCAAAATGAAAATAAGATCCGGATTTTCAACTCCAATGTGAAGTCAGTCAGTGATACTCATTATACGGATGGATCAGAGATTTCCACTGCGCGTCATAAAGAGCATCTCAAACAAACTACAGACCTTCATTAACAGTTGTCTTCGCTCAATGCTTAGCTCAAGATCAGATGGACGGCCAGAAAAGATCAGCAATAAAGAGGGATCTCTGGCAATGAGCGAACCAAGCAGGAACCGGTTGTGCAACAAATAGACAGGAAGAAATGGAGATGGATAGGTTGGCCATACTCTGGGGAAACCATCAAGTGACATCACTAGACAAGCCCTTGCTCGAGTGGAACCCGAAAGGGAAGCGGCGAGTTGTTCGTCAGTGCAAGGGTGACTTGGTGGAGGTTATGTGAAGAGGAGATGAAAACGTGTGGGCAGACTTGGAGCCAGGTGAAGACTCTAGGCGAGAACCGAACGCAGTGGAGACGGTTGGCTGAAGCCGTATGTTCCTCTAGGAATTAAAGGAAACAATAATAATAATAATACTCACCCAGGCTGAAGTAGGTGGGACTACATTTCAATCCAGGACCCACTGGATGGAAGCTAATTGCTGAAACTAGTAGAATTGACTTTAAGTGACTTAGGGTTTTACTGGTTACCAGGTTACAGTCTTTCCGACTTACAGTATGCAGATGATATTTGTCCTCCTAGGTGAAACTACTGACAAAATTTGGAGTCTTCTGAACGCCTTGTGCAGAGATCTTTGGATGTTTCGCATGTAATTCGCTCATGTGGAACATAGAGGCCTGAAGTTTCAGTAGCAGTAACGTTTATTTTTACTTACGGGATGGGGTTGCCAACCTCATGCCCAACCTTCCCTCTTTACCAGTCTAATTACTAGCTTAGTGAGGTAAAGGAGTGCGTCGGTGACCAGGGACCGAACCCCAAACCAACTTAGGCGTGGTTTGCGAGAATTCTACCGCTGTGCCACCGACGCCCTACTTGCTCCTGTAAAATGTAGAATGACGCTGCAGGACTGGTCTTCACCAACTCCTAGTTTAAAGATACGGAGTGAAGTTGTAAAGTGTGTTGGTCACTTCACCTATTTTTGGGAAGTTGCCTCAGCCCCGATGGACGAAATCTCAGCACGTGTGTGTGGAATTCGCCAGTTTGCATCATCACTGGCGTAGACGTTATATATTTGTCTGCCTATCAAATGAATTGTGTACTGCACAGCACAGTCCTCTCCGTTTTTTTTGTTTACTTTTGTGAGACATAGTCATTGAAAGTGGAAGATATAAGAAGGCGGACGTTTTTCGACTACAGATGTTTACTTTCCATTTTCTATGTTAAGTGGTACAATGTGGTTAGACGTAAAGTGCTAGGTGGTAAGGAAAGGAGGTCAATCGATGAGTTTGTGAAACTACATCAATTTAAATGGTTAGGGTGACTATCACTTATTCCAAACCATCATCTCCCAAGTTGATCAATGTTAGCTGAGGTAAGTTCAAGTTAAAAAAGAGTCGGTGGCATAGAGGTTAGGATGCTCGCCGACCATGCACATGGTCCGGGGTTCGGTCCCCGGCCGACGCACTCCTTTACCTCACTAAGCCAGAACTAAAAGCTGGTAAAGGGGAAAGGTTGGGCATGAGGCTAGCAACCTCATCCTGTAAAAATAAACACTGCTACAGAAACTTTAAGCTTCTAGCTTGAAGCCCCATGTTCCACTGGGAACGTGAAGGAATAAAAAAAATGGTCAAATCAGAACCTGGTATCAGTCCATGGAGTGTTTTACAGTTTGTCTAAGCCAGCTACATGGGGAGGTGTATCTGAAGTCCTTGTGATTCTAAGAACCAATGAAGTCAGTTATTAGATGGTGACTAGCAGTGGAATCCAGGACAACACGCATTTCGTCCTACTTGGGACTCGTCATCTGGATTTACGTACCTGCA